ACTGGTGGGGTTGTGACAAGAATTGGTTTAGGCTTTGCCCTTTTCAATATTAGTCTCGAAAGAATTAAGAACTAATAGATTTTATGGTATGCCCAGAATTTAGAAGTTTAGAACAGGATTCTTTTGATCTTTTAATCCTGACACAACTCTCATCAATTCTTTTGGCTCACAACAACTACCCATCTCTTTTTATTTAAGTTCCGCAGACAAACCCTTTTTGAGTTTAAGCTGATGCAGATATGGTTGTCCTCATGGGTAGGTCTGTCGATTCTGACATTCCATTGAGGTATTACTGTAAAGCACTCAGTCCCTCCTAAAATGACAGTGTAAGCTCATATGATCACAAACAGTTGATCAAAATTATTATTGCTATGAAGCACAATAATCAGATAAAAATTGATCAAGAAAAATATAGCTTTTAAGCACAAACAATCAAGGAGTGTTGTACAAAATCAGATTATTCAGAATGTGATAGAAATGAATGAAGATCTGTAAGTACAAGTTTACAGATTCTGATATTCAAAGAATAACGAAATGTGTATCAATCAAAGAAAAAGAATATCAGAAAAACAACTTTGATTACAAACGAGTGTATCATCACCGAAAATGATTTTCATATCAAAGATGTGATAATAACGGTTTGAAGAATAGCTGAAACATGTATTGGAATTATGTACGATGAGAAATTACACAAGTAAAGTCTCAGGAAATACCTACTTAGAAAATGTACTCGTTTTCAGAAGAAAAAAAACAACTCAATTTAAAGATTTTCCAGAGACTCCCCCTAGAAAATAGATTTAAGTAATATTTTATTTCAGCTCAAAATAATAAAAATGAAACCATTTTGGTTCAGGTCCTGAACTAAATTATTCATAAGCCACAATCAATTTAAGCACGGGTCCTAAAATGTTGTGTTTAGAAACCATAATTGTTGTAATCTTAGATTTAACCTCCAAACTATTGAACTTCCAGACTATTTAGCTTCGAATTAAACTATCCAGCTTCCTGTATTCTTTCTCTCCATATCTCCCATCTCTCAATGTGTTCATCTCGATTTCAGGTTTGCTTTTACTTCATGTTTTTAGCCGGCCTATGGCATACTTGTCGTGGAAACAACAATTCATTTTTTTCCTCAACTCAATCTTTTGCTCTTGATAGTTTTTTCACTTTTGTTCAGATTTTAGGTTTTGTCTTGAATCTTGACCACTCTCTTTTATTTTGATTTATGAACATGTATCAGTCAAGCATGTCGTGACTCAAGATATTACTATTATATAAGACGATGATATCATATATTTCATGTCCATTGTAAGTTACTCTACTAGTGTTCTGTATCTCATACCTTTGATGATTATTTTTCTTAGAGTTGTTGTCAATAATTTGTTGCTGCAAGTTCATTTCTGTGTGTTTTTCCGACTTTAATGTTGATGATCATCTCAAATTTGTCTCATGCAATATTGTTTATAGGAGTTTGACTCAATGGAGTAGAGGACACAGAGGTGGTGGTTATTTCTTTGTCTGCAAGATTTTAAATGCCATAAAGAATGTAGGTATTTCTTTTGTTCTTCGTCAAATATACATTCATATAGAAAATTAATAAGTCGTAGCTTTTGAAGCCAAATTTTCAAATGTGCAAAGTGGAATATATGTTGTGAGTAGTATTTGAACCTTAGATCTTTTTACATCGATAAAGATTCTCATCATGGACTTCTTCTATTTGCGAAGCCAAATCGGGTTATGACTTGTGAAATGAGGTCTATGTTGCAGTTTCTTTTAAATTTTTCATTGATGTGCTTTGTATAAATTGTGAGAAATGATTAAAACAAAGTCACCTATGAGGAACCATGTTTTCACCAAGGTTGATAGCTTATGTCCTGGTTTTTATTATTGTGTAGAACAATGACATTTATAATTGTAGAAATAGTTGAAACAAAGTTACTTACAAGTAAGCATGTTTTCACTTTGCACCACGATTCATATTATGGAACTTGTGGCCATAATCTGTCGGTGAAAATGTTGTAAGTTTGAAGTTGGTTGTATAAGCACCGACATGATGATCGTCAAGTGTGAATTGTTGAATGCTTGGTAGGAGATGAGTCGGGGTTATTACAGATCAAGAAACAATGAAGGTAATTTTTATTAACTAATTGAAATATCTAGAAAATATGTATCTAAATTTATAGTTGTCTCACATTTTATCTTAATTGTTAGTAGAAAGGATTACTTACCTCATAGTTAGCTTGTGTAGTATATTAGTTTCTTATTAATTGATTAAATTTCATTACTAATTGATATAGCAAAATATGAAGTTCAATATTGTTTGCAACAATACATTTTCTCAAGTTTTTCATGAATATGAATACGAGCATGAATTTCTTGAAGTTGTGAATAGTCAGACATTAATTCTTCAAGAGAAATAGGTTCTTATATTGTTTTTTGTGGTTAATTGTAAACAATCATGAAGTAGTGGCCAAAGATTATTAGATTAGTAGCAACGAAACTAGCTAATGTAACCAAAGAAGATAAAGCATATATATCATTGCATTAGATAGTATTGAGTATATAATACTTGGTTAGTTGGTTTTCCCTTTTCAGTATGTTATTAACCTCTGTTTTTCTTTGCTAATAATTATTGAAGTGCATTTCTAAGCATGTATCTCTTATAATGAGCCTTTCTGAAGATACAACTTAATGTTTGCTCCCTTATTTCTTCTTGACATTTTTGCCAACATTTCATTTAAAATTTACTCAAATCATATGAACTGAATGATACACGTATCATGTCAAGGTTGATCAGTTTCTGATGTGCCAAGTAGGGTGGTTTTTTTTTGTTTTGAACGATGATTAATTCACAACAATTATTCCTTTTCAATATTGTTGTGTGTCTAAGGAAAGCATACCTATAGGTGAGATAGAGATAAATTTCATATGTTCTACGAATTAATTAGATTATGTTCTCTTACTTTTAAGTTTGACATGGGTTTTTCAGCAAAAGCCAAAAGCATTGATTTTTTTTTCTTTTTAGAGGTTGGTGAGCCTAATAGCAATGTCATAATGGCATAAACTATACGTATTGCAATAATTTCTGAGGTTGGGTGGTATGGAATAACTTGTAATGCAATATTCAAAATGTTAACTTGGCACCTCCTATGATCAATAATACCACTGATGTATCAAAGATAGGTAATGTAACTTTTCGACCTGAAAAAAGATGTAGATAATTCAAGAATCCATGGAGAGAGAGAAATTAGAAGGGGACTTTAAATTGTCATGATATATTTTATATGTGATGAATCATGTTTGGGGGTACAAAGTGAAAGTAGAGCAAGCTCTAGGATGTTCACCGGATTAAAAGTTGACACAGTAGGCGAAGTTGCTTCCATGAAAAGCTTCTACATCAATGTTAGGATGCTTAATTAGACCTGATAGCAGGAAGTTGAAGTCTGAAATTTTGATTATTAAGTTGAGATTATAGGTGTATGTGATCCTTGAGTCAACTTCTCATTGTCTTTTTTTACAATCACAAGTCTTTTTAGAAGATTCATTCTCTCAACCATTTTTAAGATTCTTGATATCGATTGCGTTGGTTAGAAAGTTCTTCAGCCAAAATTTGGAAGTTATTCACATACATTTATGTTGTTTTCTTATAGGCAATTTATTGCAGTTTTCAGTTTTCATGAACTCTTTTGATTCTCGAAAAGAGACTAAATTTGACCTCGAGAAGTTATACAACACAACTGAGTGTCCAATTTTGCTTGTGAAAAGGCATGAATTCAACTTAATGTCAGATATTTTTGTAACTCGCGGGTTGAGGATATACAAGAAGGATCAAATTCTAAGCAAACAAAGACAATTTGCTTCATGGACAATGTTCCAAAATGCTCATACTTTATTTTAGATACTTTAGAGTCTCATTAATGCGTCCCATTTTAGACGATATCAACCATGTGGATGTTTTTCATTTGCTTTTGAATTTACCGTTATTTCCACTTGAACAAGTATTGTGTTGTAAGTTGTAATAGTCTTGTTATAGTATCGTAGTTAATTTGTATAATTTTAGAATGGAGCATGTGGGGGGTCTCAGTGTAATCAAATTGGTTGTTGCAATTTACCTGTACCAGTTGCTCACCGCTGATGCTCATCCGTATAACGTTGTTTCAGATTGTGATTATATCAATTCATGTTGTTTCAGCTTGTGTTTGATGGGCCCACGTTACATTCTTCAAAGAGCTTTCTATAAACTTTGTTCTTGACTTTTTGAGATCAAATTGAATCTACTTTTAGATCCGAAGAGTTCACAAAAACTTAAAACTGCAGTTGCTTTGAGAGTTGAACCATGTTCAAGAAAGATGTAATTACCACATAAAAAAAATTTGGAAGGTTAATCTCAAATAGATATCATCATCAGTACTTTTATTCCATTTACAACATCCTTGTATCTTAAGTTGCATGATGTGTGTCTCATGACACGTCCATGGCTAACCAAACTTATTATTTAATGCCGGTGAAGACATTATATTTTGTTAAACAATTGAAAAGTATTCTTATTATAAATTCAGCTATATAATGTCTTTGACTTTGAATGCACGTCTCACCACTAGGTGGACATATGAACATCATTTCATAAACATATATCTTTTGCCTATAATACGGTTAATGTACATGGCAAAAAATTAACCGGAACTGAAATTTACTTTATTCGATTAATCAAACCAATTAATCCACAAACTGAATAGTCCAAAATCGTTTTGGTTCAGGTGGATTATTTGATTTTAGAATTTCTTTTATACACCTAGGACCCTGAGCCACCTAAGTTTCTGGATTTACAACCGGCTAACTCGCAAAGCACGAGACCCACACTAGTTCAGTAATATATTACTAAAAATTGATTCATTTGAGAAAAAATATAAAATTTAATACAAATCACTATTAAAAACCAGGGCCTAGGTATATAACCTTAAACATGAGTTTAATTAAACTCATGATTATGAAACCATTTTTTATTTAATAGAATCACAAATTTAATTAAATCACATATAAAATTATATTCCTAAATGACCCGGTTGATCATCTGCTAAAATTTGGCAGCTTGTAAAGTTTGAAATAAAATGCTTGTACCATTTTGCTGAGGATTTCGGTGTCCTCTCAAGGGTTGCATAATCAACATGGTAAAGACCAAATCTTATCGTGTATCCACATAGCCACTCGAAGTTGTCAAGCAACGACCAAGCAAAGTAACCTCTAACATCTGCTCCTTTCCTGATCCAAAATTTGTAACCAATAAAATAAATTTTGTCAGAGTCTTGTATCAGTTAAACTTTAAAACGACATATGCATTACATACCTTACTACCGAAAACAGGGCATCCAAGTAGCTCTTCATGTATTCTACTCGTTTGTCATCATTGAGGAAATCATTGATTCTTGAATCAGGCCGGTTCATCACGCCAAAGCCTACAAAATTCGCAGATTTCCACTAATGACCGATGCTAATTAGCATACAAGTGGGACCCACTCGAGTTTTGTGGGACCCGCTTCCTCTTGCTAGACCATATATAGAGAGAGAGAGAGGGGTTTACTTTGCAAACCACGTTATTTGTACAAACCGTACAAACATCATTCAACCAATCATAATTTCATTTTGTTCCTATTTTTGTAATTATGAGAGGTTGATTAATCATTTTTTATTCTGGAAGTTGTTAATCATGGATATTATCATCTTCATTATTTTAATTTTAGAGAAATACATGAAACAGTTTCATTAAAATTTCATTAAGTATTATATGAAACAATTTCATAACCATATATGAAATAACTTCATCATAAAAAGTATTATATGAAACAATTTCACAAGATTAAACAATTTCATGAAAAAAATTCGTAAGATTAAACAATGAACTCCACAAATGAAAGTGGTTTGCACGGTTTATACAAATTGGATGGTTTGTATTTGATCATTGTCCCCTCTCTCTATATATAAACTAAAGAAGAACTTCAAGTCACTCACCGTTCTCTGTGATGAACATTGGTGTATTATTGAATCTGTTCTTGAGATAAGTCACCATCTTCTCCATTCCTTGAGGACAAACATAAAGCCAATCCACTGCAGACTGCATAACCCACAACACCAAATAATTCACATATCCTCCTACCTATGGGAATCAAAATTGCAATAATTTCCTTCTCAAAAAGCTATCATCATCTATTTTCCCATCGTCATCTTCACATAGAAATTGATGGTATCATTCGTTTAAACCAAATGCACCTAATATATACCACATGGAAGTTGGTTTTTGTGTACGTAAATATGACCTATATCCCGAAGAATAGAGCGTCTGTTTCATGAAGACCCGCGACTGTATGAAAGTGTGACAGGGAGAGAGAGATGATAAAGTTTTGATGTTGACAAATAGTCAATCATTGTAATTTTCATGGCACGTATGAAATGGGAATCATGGTTTCCCTCCTATGAAAATTGCAATAATTTCCTTTCAAAACCCTACAAATATCTATTTGCCCATCATTATCCTTGCATATAAACACTGATGGTATCCTTCGCGTAAAAAACCAAACCAATCCAAACCCAACCGACACCGTAAATCCCATTCGAAGGTAGGGTACAGAGGATGAGATGTATGCAGACCTTAATTCTACCTCTAAAAGTAGAAAGGTTGTTTCCTTAAAGACCCGAGATTGTGCAAGAGTATGAGCAAACGTGTAGAAGGAACAAGGACTAACACATATAGTCAATCGTTGTAATTCTAATATAGGGAAGAGGATAAAACAGAGAATGCCATACAGATTCTCCTATGAGAACACCGTTCTTAAGAGCAGTTCTGAGATAATAACCCTCCGTCTTCGAAACACCAGGTCCTTCTTCACATGTCGACTGTGAGCAGTCTTTTGCGTAGAAACTTGTATAATGGTTCACACCAATGAAGTCTAATAATCCATTCTTTAGCTTCTTTAAATAATCGTTTGATAAATCGGGTAATAAAGATCCCAGAATATCTTTCATTTCTTCAGGATATTTTCCAAATATAATTGGGTCTAAGAACCTACACAACAGATTAAACTGGAGTTTGAAGCAAACATGTGAAAATTTAATGATCAGAACATGACTTACGGAATTGGGACCTCACCAATTCATGTAGAAGGATTGAGCTCTCAGAGCAGCTAGTCTGTCTTGTGAGGAATTGCTGATGGGCTCATACCACACAGCATTCATAACAATCCCAATACTGGCCTTCTGTTTCTCCTGAAATCCAGTGGAAACCTGTTGAATTCTTTTTAGGGAAGACATGAAACCAAATACAAATTACCTCCATTTCCCCTCCTTGTCCACCAATCAAACGCTGACCAGGGGCGCACTTCTGTGGGAGCTTACGGTGGCACGACATCGTAGCAGAAATTCTTTTACGTTCCTTGAGGGCGCAATGTTTGGTTGCGTGGCCCGATACCTATAGGCTATATTTTTTTAAACTAAATTTTGAAAGGGTGAGAGTTCGAATCCCCTTTTTGGCAAATTTCCTGTTTTCAGCTTTTATCTATAACTTCTGTTGTACTAAACCATTTGCGGGAAACTGGCCGTGGAGGGGTCGAACCCATGGCCCTTTCTTGCAAATGCAAGCAACCAACCAACTCGTGCCACCGTTTGGTTTAATTTATATTAAATTTTCCATATTTTTTACACTTAAGGTAAAAGTGCCACCCTTCGAAAATTTTGCTAAATCTGTCTTTGTCCTTACTACTGGTTGAAGAGAGATAAGAAAAGAACGAATTAAAATAAATATATATTAAATGAAGTAACCATATGACAGGTGATAATTGACATGGAATTTGGGGACAAGTGATTTGTAAGGGAGTAAATTTTGCCCAATTGTGGGATTCCTAGATTATCTTGAGCAAGCCCAAAGCCGATAAAAAGCGGTTAAATCCCACAAGTTTATATTATTTAGGGGTCGTTTACCAAACACTTAGCCGGTAAGTGTTTATCGGTAAAATCTAACATTATAATTTACTTACTGGGTAAGATCTTAGTCCACCAAAACGACACCGTATGCAACAATTTACCTGGTAAGCGCTTACCGTGGTAAGAGTCATCGCCTTCACTTACCGGGTAAGACTCTTGGTCATTGTCTCGCTCTTACCGGGTAAGACTCTTGGTCATTGTCTCGCTCTTACCGGGTAAGACTCTTGGTCATTGTCTCGCTCTTACCGGGTAAAATTCTTGGTCTTTACCATATTCATCCGGTGTAGGTAATGTGACTTGATAAGCGCTTACCAAGATAAGCGTTTGGTAAACGGCCCCTTACTTGTGTTAAGTAAGGTTGGAGTACCTGATATTTGGTCCGGTAGATGTCGACTGCCGACGCATGAGATAGAATCATATTATGAGCTACGATAAACGGCTCCCTCTCAGAATCTCCAGAGCTACAATTCCCAAACGAACCTGAGCACCTAGCTGGTGGGTAAATCCCCGATCTATAACCACGTATAGCAACAACATTTGGTTCATTGAAGGTGACCCAGTACTTGACTCGGTCCCCATAGTATTTGAAACATATATGCGCATAGTAAGCAAAATCTTGCCTGACAAAGAAAGAAGAAGATACTTATGTTTACCATACATTTGGTTAATCAGATTCATGACAAGAATTCTAGATATGCTCAGTAACGAGAAAACTGCTACTTACTGCACTTGTGGACTTAGCCAACCACCATATCTATCTTCAAGTTCCTGAGGTATATCGTAATGAGTCAATGACACAAATGGTTGGATTCCTGAAAGGGGATTTATTTATATCATAATTATTTTGAATTTGAAAGTTGAACTTCCATAATCAGAAATTGGAGTCTTTAATGAGGAAATATATGGAATATATATATTATTTTCTCAACCTTTTCCTATGAGGGCATTGATGAGCTTGTCATAATGTCTTATTCCAGCCATGTTCACAGTTCCAAACCTTCCCTCTAATGGAAGAAAACAAACCAATAATCAACAACTCACTTGACAAATATCGTATGCATAATCTCAATAGCGAAAAGCAGGAGAAAAGTATACCAAACAAAACGAACCCATTAAGTCTCACACATGGGTAGGATGTGGGGGTAAGATGTATGAAGACCTCCAACTTACAAAACAAAAAATTTAAAAAACAAGCAAGCTACAAGATATAGGGCGTGCAAAGAAGCAATGGGTACAGTAAACAGAAAGTGCAGCAAGAACATACTTCATATTTCTGACCTATACCACAAACAATCAAAATTTATATAAATGAAAACCTAGCGCTCTCTCTCTCTCTCTCTCTCCATACATGTTCATGTATGAAAATGCAACCACACATGATTTGCTAATATATTTGAGTAGGTTGTTGTACAGGTTATAATTTATGATTTTTACTTAAAAAGCAGAAGCTAAGAGAACATTAATAACTTACTAGGTAAAATTCTAGCCCATGATATGGAGAAACGATAGGCATTTAATCCAATGTATTCCATAAGCTCAAGATCATCCTATATTATCATAAAGACACAAGATTAGCACATTTTCATGGAAATTTTGTCTACCTTTGGTTAGAGGTAAAGTTTGCATGCATCCTATCTTTACATGAGATTACTGGGTTTGTTTGGTTTGGTTTACACAAGATTAACATACTAATTCTAATGCTAGAGAAAAATAGTAAGCAGTAAAATAAAACTTAAAGTAGCTCTTTTAAATTGCATTAGCAGTCATTATATTCAATGCCAAGTAACTTGAACGATGAGTGATACAAGTTTTGAGTCCAATAGCAATGACCAAGTCACCCCTAAGGTCGAACGAATATTATCAACTTGTGAACTCATTCTATTTTCAATTTCTTATATTTACTAAGTAGATCTAAGCATGTGTTCTAATTTTCAATTTGTACATCCTAAGGTGTGATTCGTATCTTGAATACTGTTCACCATTTTAGACAGTAAGAAAGAATAAATCTATCATCGATAGTACAGCTAACCATGCCCCTTCCTGACATTTTATAGGCATGGGTAAACGTAAAAATAGGGCCCACGGCAAGAAACAAGGTTTTTAGCAATTACTTTTGTCGTCGCAAAAAGTTCATTTATCATCAGAAAGAGTATATAACAACATGTTGTTGCCATAACTTGCAGCGGAAACATATCATCGCTAAAAGGAGCATTGTCAAAACTCATTTTTCTTGTAGTGACCCTCGGTAAGTACGAAAAAAAAAATTCAATAAATGCTCTTCATTAGTATAAAATTGAGTACAAGAAATGCTAATAATTTACTGAGGAAAGAAATCTTATTTATCTTTATTATAGATATATAAAAGAGTACTTAAATTTACATACTTCTTGTTAGGTAATTTGAAACCAAGAATATATGAACTATGATTGATAAATTTTTATAAAAAGTAAGAATTTTTTTAGTTCATAACAAGAAATATGTGTTATTTTGATACAAAAAGAAAATTTACGTGAATGAAGTAATCGTGAAGGTCAACAAGAGATCAATAATAAAAGAAGATTATCAAGGTTTTCTGGACAAGTAGACAAATGAGGATTAATAAGAATATAAAAGAAAAAGATGATTCATTGAGATCCAATAAGAATAAACAATGAATTAAACATATAATATGCAAACTCAACAAATGATTGTTTGAGCACTTGAATAGAATCTTCTGGTGTTGCGGAATCTCAATGAAAAATACATAAGTCAAACAATTGATGAAGATATTTAAATTTTGTTTTTCTTTTTTTTCTGCTCAAGTAAAATAAGATGTTAAGATTAAAAGTTTATGGAACATGACATATATAAGAGACATTACTAAATACATATAGTAGAAAAATTTTATTGATTAATCACAAAACCATTAAACACATCATAAATTATAAGAACAATAGATTGATTGTCAAATAATAGCAAAATATTTTATGTAGAAACAAGAATAGATAATAATAGTGAAGAAAAACAATTAAAACAATATAACCAAATAGCAATAGTCAATAGAAACAAAAATTGATAAAAATATCCAACAAAAATATATAGCAATAGCAAGCACATGATCTTAACGTTGAAATGTTCAAGTACAAAAACAGTCAAGCATATAGAGATAACAATAACCAATATCACTGGATCTTGTTGGAGATAAAAAAAAATCAAAGAGGCAATAAACAATAGCATATAATGAATTATCAATTAATTTTTTTTATTTTCTTTTATAATGTAATTAGTTGATATGTTTTTGGGTCCTTATTATCTACTAAATTCTTTTTGTCTCTTGTTATATGCTACAATTTTTTGGGTTTCTTTAATTTATTAAACTTCTATTGTATTTTAAGAAAAATAATTGGGCCCCTGATATTTTTAGGCCCTTGATGTGTGCCCGTGCCGTCCTCTCCAAGGACGGCTATGCAGCTAGCCCCATGCTTTAAATAGTAAAATGACAAACAATAATGTATAGTTATTAATAGTCCATTATCAAGGACTTAAAGGCACTTAATAATGTATAGATGTGTGGGAATTGTAAGTTATTCAAGTGTTTTGGAGCTATTTAAGCCATCAAGGAGGGTATCAAGTTGCAGTAGGAAAGGGATAACATGGTCCCCTTCTTATTTCATGGGCCACAACATCTTCTGGTGCACCCCACTACAACCACTACATATACAATGCCAAGAATGCACTAGAAGCAAGCAAAAGAACAACAAACAAATTAATATCTTTCGCTCTTCTTCGGTAGATCTTGTAAGTGCTCTAAAAAGCTTTAAAGAGCTAGGTGCTTTAGTAACTTTCTAGAGCTTAGTTGTTTAAGCAAAGATTGAATGTATGCATCAGTGGTTCATTTATATATACATATAAAACATCCTTTTTATTAGATTTTGTAAGAATACGAAAATAAATTTTTTGTTATAGTCCTTTTGCAAGAATATAACATATTAACAGCCAAAACATACGAATTCGAAAAAGAACAAGAAAACAAGATTGTATCTGTCACCACTATGTATACTTTAATTGGGCTAGCATAACAACTTGTTGAGATAAATTGAATCACATACAGAAGAAGAAAAACTGTAACATCTTTTTTCTTTAATACACATTCAAGTGCAAGCATATCAATGCAGAATTTTTCAAGTGTATATAAGCACTAGCATCTGCAAGTATTATTCTACAGGATTTGTTTCAATTGTTTGTATAGACTTCATTTAGAAGTCACTATTTTGTCTTACTAAAGAGGTGCATTTTGACTTTTACGACTTTATGTAATGGAGAGACGGAAATGATTTGGAAAGAAACCAGTTCTTTCAGGAGAAAAAGGTAAGAACCCTGAGGGAAAGTTACACTTAATTTCTTTTTCTTTCTCTCCTCTCCTAACAGTAAAAGGTTTGTACGTACAAGATACATGTGGTAATGATCGACAGCAATGTCTCCATTAGAACCATCAGCAATATTTCCTGCAAAAAAAGTCAAAAAGCTGCAAATATTAAAGAGTTTTGAAGAGAAAGTTACAACAGAGAAATAAGTTAATTACCAGGTTTATGTGAGAAAATATCCCAATTACTGAGACCTTTCCCATCAGTAAGGTAAGCTCCTTCGAACTGCAAACATGGTATGGATCCGTCCAAAATAAAGATCAAAAAGAAAAAAGAAAAAAGAAAGGAAATGCGTGATGGTAAAAGATCAACCTGATAAGAAGATGATGTTGTTCCAAACAAGAAGTTTCTTGGAATTGAAGATGAACTGGAATTGGCTCCTAAAACGTTAATAAATCCGTACGATGCCGTAAAGATTGATGAATATGCCCCGAGAACAACGAGCAACAACAAATTTGTGGAATATCCCATATCAAAATTGTTGAAAGATGGAACTATAGGGAAGTGATGGATGGAACTATAGGGAAGTGATGAATGGAACTATGCAAAACTAAAGGTGTGAGTAAGAAAGTCTGTATTTTTAAAGACGTTACAGGTTTTTATAGGAAAAAATAAGTGCAGAAAACAAGTAGCATATGACAGGAAGCCAAGGTGCAGTTCCCATAATGTACACATAGAACTTGTTCTTTTGTCCATTTGACGTGTAGGAGGTGACTCACAAAATAGAACCGAAAGAAAGAGGAAAGCGATGTGAAGTTGAAATAAATTCATTTCACGCATTTAATCCATCCATTTTCTGAAAGAAAAAAACAATAATGCATAATCAAGGACGTCTTTAATGCAGTTGTACAGTGATTTACAAACTTGTTGGTTTATAATCATAAGATAGTAAGGTACCCAAGCACAAGAAGTCAAGAAGGATATATGGTTTGCATGGATTGGAGAGGAAAGTCTTTTTACACTGTAATTTTGTTCTGTCAGTGTCATAAGTCATCAACAAACACTCAAGGAATCTTATGAATGAGCAATGCAGTGTCAGCTAATATGATGTTTAAATCATTAGAGATTTTCTTTAAGAAATGCTAATGACACCACAGGGTGAATGCTTAGAAATCATGTAATCTCTAAAATCTATAAAACATAAATAAATTTAATTATCATTATTATTTAATATACATATATATTAATTAATTGTCATTATATAATT